AAGCCTGAGTCCTTTCCTTCTTAGCTCTGGGGGCCATATAAAAACAAGGCATGGGCCATATTTGGCCTGAGAGCCGTAGTCTTCCAACCCCTCCTGTAGGAGACAGGGAGGCCCTGGGAGGCCCTCGTGTAGGGTGAAGGATAGGGACACAGGCAGAGAGCCCAGGTAGGAGGGTGTTGTCAGAAAGCAGTCATTAGACAGAACAGCCTCAGTCTACATCTCTCGGGACTCCAGCTTCCCACAAAACTCCCCTGAGCCATCTGGTCCTCTGCAGCGTCACCCAGACATTGGGCACAGGCTGGTGGGACCAGAAGCCCTTCCCTTGGCTGACCCTGGACAATGCTCAGAAGTGAGGAATGTTCTCCAGGGCCTCGGACAGGTGTCATCCATGTTCCCGTTCCATCCCCTATGATTCTCAGGACAAGGTGGCTGTGTTCTGAGGGCAGCAACCTCCCAACTTCCTCCCTCTGCCAAGAATACAGACTCAGGGTCCCCCTAATTCCTCCTCGCGCTCTTGAACCTTGCACCAGCCTCCCACTGGTCTCTCTGCCTCCAGGTCTCCCTGGAGAGAGAATTAACACTGAATTACAGCTTCTCATCAAGTCGACCATCAAGTCCAGACTGTCCACTCTGGCTGCAGGCAAAATACAACCACAGACTCAGCCAGGCTGTTCTTCCCTGTCCTCCACTGCTCACGGCGTTGCCACACTTTTCCCCATCCTGCCAGGCCCAGGCCCACCTCCTCCGTCCCTCTCTCTCTTCTTTGCAGTCCTCCAGCAGTCACCGTCAGCACTGCGTCGCTGGCATTTAGATTCTTGTCTAAATCGCCAAGCAAGCGAATAACTTATGGGAAGCAGCTAGCTCAGTGCTCGGCACATGGCAGGTGCTCTGTAATTATGTCCTAGATGATGAGTTTGTTTATTCATTTATCTAATGGGTTTAAATTGGGTGTCTGAGCTGTATACAAATGTGCCTCTTTGATCATGCCTATTTCATGTGCTGCCATTTCTCCTGCTTCAGAAAGGCGCTTTGTGAGCTTGATTGATCTGCATGTTAGTTAATGAGTCATTATAGGAGCCTGTCTTTAAACAAAGGCCAAAGCAGAGGAGAAAAAAAGAAAGGAGAAAAGGAAAGCGTCAGTACGTGGTGCGCTGGGGGCCCGTCCCGAGGCCGCGATGTTGCGTGTGTTCAACAGTCTTCTTGGTGTAATTAGCTCCTACATCAGGGTCGGGGCTCTGAAATGTGGTTCACATCAACGGCAGCTCTAACCAGTGATGTGAGTCGTTTTATGGCTCTGGGTTCTGGCCTTCAAAGCAATATTTTCCCATTATAGGCCTAGTAATCATATGCTCCCTCTTTGGGAGGTGGCTGGGTGAGCAGTGTCCTCTGCCCCAGGAAGGGGCTGATGGGGTGAGGTTGTGCAGTGAGGACCCTGAGTCCCTGCAGAGCCCAGGCCCCTCCTCCTTCGGAAGGTGCTGTCTGCCTTCTGTATTTCATGTGCAGCAAGTGCTTGCTGAGCACCTGGCGGGACCCAGGAAAAGAGCTTAAGGAAGGTTTGAGGGGGCAAGTCATGGTCCCTGCCTCGTGAACCTGAGATGTTGCCGGGATGCCACATAGACAAGAGGAGAGCCTGGCCTCTGCCTACCTGGAGTGAGTCCCCGCTCTACCACTTACCTGTGTGACCTAGCAAGCTGCCTAAACTCTGTGGCTGGGCTGTCCCATTTGTAAAGTGGAGGTAACCAAAGAAGCTATTGTCGTGAGTTTTCCATGAGTTGATATGTGCAAAGTACTCAGAACAGAATCGAGCCCATTGTAGGTGTCAGCTCTTGTAGTGACAAAAATCTCATAAGACAAGGTGACCAAAGACTATGATTAAGTCTCAGAGAATGTTCTAGATCAAGGATGGGCAGACTGTAGCCTCAGGGCGGAATTCAGCTCATCATTTGTTTTGTAGATGAAGTTTTATTGGAACACAGCCGTGCCCTTTCGTGTACACATTGCACAGGGCTGCGTTCGTGCTAGTCTCGCAGTGTTGAGAAGTTGCGACAGAGATCATAGATCCACAAAGGGAAAACTATTTGCTATGAGGCCCTTTGCAGACAAGGTTTGCCAACCTCTGTTCTCCGCAGTAACTACTACGAGGGATCCGAGAGCCTAGCGATCCATCCATGCTGGAGAATGGGGAAAGGTTTGAAAATGTTCTCCCAGTCAATATTTTCTGAGCCGCTGGCACGTGCCTGGCACACTGGCAGGTGCTGGTCGTACAGAGGTCGTGAGACCTGGCCCCTGTGCTCCAGGAGGGCAGGGTGGAGTGGAGGAGCAAGTAAACAGGTCCATCACGGTGCGGCGGGGAAGCACCGAGACAGAGATGAGAGGGAGGCCGAGCGGGGAGCGTTCCCCTTGTCAAAGTCAGACAGAGAACTTGGACAAGAGAGAGCTCAAGGATGAGGAGAAATTTGCTAGGGGAGCGAAAGGGAACGGGAAGAGCCTGTGCAAGTCAGTCGTGAATGGGCCACGATGGGAGTGCCGGGTTGGGGGGGACCGGAAGGGAGCAGGTGCAGGGGCCCCTCCTGTGTGTCAGGCTAGGAAACGGGAGCCCGAGAAGCATCTGTGCAGCAGGACTGTGGGGAGTGAGAGATGGGAAGGAGATTCCAGCCTGAGCAAATGATCCCGTGATGGTGCTACTCGCCAGCAGGGAACATTCTGGATGGGAAACCCAGAAGGGCCAAGGAATCCCCACTCACTCTTGACAGTTAAATTCCATCTCCTCTTTCCTGACCCGTCTGACCACCGCTGGCTGCAGGCCCACACCCTCCGTCACCTTGACTGTCGCTGCAGCCCAGCCACGAGGCTCCCGGTCTTCACCATCCCTCAGTGCTGTTGCTCCCACAGCGACAATCTCATGTCGTGCCTTTACTTACAACTCTTGCATAATTCCCTGCTGTCTTCAGGACAAAGCTCCAAATTCTCAGCATGACTGACAGCCCTTCATAATCTGGCTCCTCCTATTTCTCTCATGTCACCACCCTCTGCTTCCCTGTCACTTAACTCCAAATGAAGTAGAGGCCTCTGGACAAGCCACCCTGCTTTGTGCCTCTGCTCCTCCCTCTGCCGGAACTGCTCTCCCTTCCGCATCCCTTGGTTGGACTCCAGTTCATCTTTGAAACTCAGCCCGGACTTCATGTCCCCCAGGAAGCCTCCTTAACGTTTCTCCCAGCAGTGGCGATCCCTGCTCCCTGCCCTGTGTCTGTCTGAAGGCTCACTGACGTGCTCACGAATGCTGCTATCCGGAGATGCTGCTCTCTGAACCCCACGCCTGTGCAGAGGGGCCCTGCACAGATGGTACCCAGGCTCTTGGATGGGGGCAGCTTCCATTTGCTCCCGAGAGACCTGAAAGCACCTTGGGGTGAGGCTCTGCAGGTGAGGCCCTGGCAGCGTGTGGGTGCTGGGCTTTTCGCTTCAGATGGAGGAAACCTGCAGAAGGCGTCAGTCACAAGTAGGAAAAGATATCTGTACTCCTTGGGTTGCAGAGTAGAAGACAAAGGGGCGACTTCAGCCTCCTCACTGGTGGAGTAAAGGCTATCATCAGATTGAAACGGACAAGGAGGCCCAGATTAGACATCCGGGTGGGTGCCTCAGCGCGTCATGTCCTCGTGAATGGCCCCCCACCCACCCACCAGTCGCCCAGGCCCAAGCCAGTAGCTCATCCTAGATCCTGCCCTCTCCTCAGCCCCACATCCTTCCAGGCACACAGCCCCACGTACCGCTGGGACCTGCCCCAGCTCCGGTCCCCTCACTCCTCCCCTGTCACTTGCCTGGACAACCTCGAAAGCCTGGAACCATCCTCACCACGCGCTTCACTCCTGCCAGTCATTTCCACACGAGCAGCCACACTGACGCTTTCTCAAACACCCGTGTGTCCCTGTAAGCCACCACTTAAAACTCTTCTACTGCTCCTCCCTCAGGAAAAAAACCAATTTGGGGGTGGGTTGGGGTGGTATGAGGCCCTTTGGACCAAGCTCCAGGCAAATTTTTTAAGTTCTGGGTCTTCCCGAGTCACCTCCTCACACCGAAGGCCTGTCACATTGTCCCCCAGAGCAAGCAAGGCAGCTAGCACGTGTGCTCAGTTTGCAGACCCACAGTCAACAGACACTGAACAACTTATTCCAGAATGTTCTATCTATCAGGCCCTGTACCCCGGACTCCTTCTCAGAACGTCCCCTTCCCTCTCCCAGCATCCCCCTCTGGCCTGGTGAAGTCTTCTGTAGCCTTCAGAATGTTGTCAGACACCACATCACGGGTGGCCTCCCCTGCCACAGGCTGGGGGAGCTGCAGGCTCCTCTCTGCCCCCGCAGCCCCGCTGTGACGTCGCCTCCCCCCAGTGCTGTGGTTATCAGTTTACTTTTCTGTCTCCCCTTTTCACTGAGGGCAGGGACTGCGTCACACTCGCTGTCGAAGCCCCTCCTAGCCTGGCATATGCTGAGACTTAGTAAATATTTGTGGAAGGCAGGATTAAAACAAGAGGGAGGAATCTTGCCGAAATCTCCTTCTGAAAACATTCATTTATTCGACAAATAAACAAACAAAAAGGATGGAGAAAGGCAGGCAGAGAGGCTGAGAGAAACTCCTGCAGGTCCCTGGGGGCAGGAGAGCTGCAGTTCCACATGTGGCCTGAAAAACTGTCGCCCAACCCTGGAGGGACTCTGTGCATTAAGGCGTGACGAAGGAGTCTAATCATCTCGCAGTCAGCCAGATGTGCCCGGTTGCTGCGACAGCCTCTAGAATTGGCCAGATGTGCCATGAACATCTTCAGAAACATCAGGGAGCTCCAGAGACTGTCTAGCCTGGAGGGAAATAGTCACACACATTTAGGTGGCACAGAAATGGTCAGCGTGTGTAGGATGGTGTCACCAGTAACTCTGGGCATCGGGACCTAACGAGGCTCTGGAAGCCTTGCTCAGGGCCCCCGCCTGCTCCTAACCGTGTGCTCCCGCCCCCAGGTGATCAAGCTCGCCTTTGAGGAGTTTGATTTGGAGAGGGGCTATGACACCCTGACGGTCGGGGACGGTGGGCAGGATGGGGACCAGAAGACGGTCCTGTACGTGTAAGTGAAGCGGGCGTGCGATCTGGAGGGCGGGGCGGCATGTGGCCCTTGGCGGGGGGTGGTGGGCTGGGCTTGCCGAGTCCTGCTGGTGACCACACTGCAGCAAGGACAGCGTTCTGCAGGGCTGCTGGTTTCTGCAACAATCCCTCCACCTCCACCTCTCTCTACTTCACCCGGGGTAAAAGAGGACAGGGCAAATTCTCACTGGGAATTCACACGAAAAGCGAACAGAATGAGCACTCTCAGGGTGGGGGAGATGGACGTTTCACACAGGAGCCTGGACCTTTCCACTGGCCGTCTGCTTCCATTCAGACCCGGCTTCTGCCACCAGACAGCTTTCACTCTCCACCACGGCCGTCCGTGGCAGCCTGACCTCAGACAGGGCAATGGAAGTGTGTTCCTGACCTTCCTGTGTGCTCAGAACCATCTGGGAAATGGATGGTTTCAGAGACTCGGGCCCCTATAGACATAGTGACCATGTTTCCTGAGCCCAGAAAGGCCAGTATAACGTGGTGTAGTCAAGGGACAGGAAAATATCAGGCTGTCCTGAGATTCTACTACACTGGGCCTGTGTTCCGGGGGCCATGTAGCTTCTCCTTTGCCCACCACCGACAGCCTGACGTGAGAGCCAGGAAACGCTCCTGTTCGGTGCACATGGCCCAGCTTCAGACAGACAGGCCTGACCCCGTCCACCTCCCTTCCAAGAAGAAGGTGGGGAGTCACAGACATGGAGCACCTACCTTGCACCCAGGCACTGTGGTGGGAATTTTTGCATCGGTTATCTCACTCACACTCCACAACAACCCTGTGAGAAAGGTGTTAGCTCCATTTACCAGGTGGGGAGACCAGGTGAGGCCCAAACGTTGTAGAGAAGGTTGGTTGCAGAGCCAGCACTCCAGATCTTATCTTTTCATTTCAGTCAAGGACCCTGTCCCGTGCCACAGCCCCTCCCAGCCAGGCTAGTTCCAGGCCATCTCCCTCTGGCTCCAACGCTGCGTGAGAAATGGCCTTTCAGTGACAGCTGGCTTGTCCAGAGGCTGTGCTGTTCCGGGTGGTTCTCATACCTTCCCGAGTCCTACCTGGTCCCACACCTGCCTGGAGGTGATGCTATCTAGGCAGTTACGTGACTCATCTCATCCGATGGTACCCACTAAGTCAGGTGATACGGCCGGGGCTTGGGATGTCCCAGGACAAAGGCATGGGATGTGAGCCTAGAGGGGATTCTCCCCGCTGCCTGCTCCACTGTGCTCGTCAGGGTTCTCCAGAGAAACGGCTAATAAGAAATGATGATATGTAGATAGATAGGTAGATGATAGACGGATGGGATTTGTTATAAGGAATTGGCTCATGTGATTTGGGAGGCTGACAGGTCCCAGAATCTTCACGGTGAGTTGGCACCCAGTGATGTCATTCTAGTTTGAAAATCAGTAGACTCGAGACCCAGGAAGAGCCAAAGTTCCAGTTCAAATCCAAAAGCAGGAAATAAGCCAATGTCCCAGTTCAAAGGCAGCCAGGCAGGAAGAATTCTCTTGTTCAGGGAAGGGTCTACTTTTTTGTTGTATTTTCAACCCTTCAACTGACCGGATGAGGTCCGCCCACACTGCTTTACTCAGTCTACTGGTTTAAATGTTAATCGCATCCAAAAACACTCTCACAGACACACCCAGAATAATGTCTGACCAAATATCTGCGCGACCTGTGGCCTGGCCAGATTGATACATAAAATCACACGTCACACCCACCTCTCCCCGACTCTGGGTGCATCCCCATCACTCACCGTCTGCCCCAGCTCGCTGCTCTGGATGGTTTATCAGCCCAGTGTGCCCGAGAGGCCAGGATCCCAGCTCTCTTTCCTCCCACGATCCCATTGCACTTTGACGTAGAACCTTGGAACGTCAGAGCTGGAAAGAGTCTTAGAGATCATACAAAACAATCCCCTTATTTAACGTGGAGTGAAAAGCCGAGAGAGGCTCAACCACTTGCCCAAGGTCACACAACAAATGGATGGCAGAGCCAGAGCTTGGGCCAGGTTTCTGGATCAGTACAGTTTGAGGGAGCTCCCCACAAGTTTTCTAGTGGCCCACAGGCTCTCCCACCACCACTCAGATCTCTTTAAGCCAACATTGATCTCAGACCTTTAGGGAAACACATGCAAAATGATCGGGCTTCTTTGTTGTCATAATTGGATTAAACAACGGGAAAGGAAAGGCCCCAGCCTTCTCCCTTGCTCACCACCACCCCAGAGTTAGGAGCCGCACAGGCCAGCCTCAGTCAGTACTCATTACAGAGTGTCAGAACCCCAAGCTCAGGGATGCCACACGGGCAAGGCTGTTGTACCCCAGGTGTTCTATCCCATGCTGTGATGACCATCTCTCTGCAGCCTACTCAACAGCCCCCCAACTTTGAAACCCCGGGGTGAAGCAGAGATTTGGACCCATTAATTCAATCGCCCCCTCTGCAGCCCTCTGCCCCTGCTCTGTGTGTGCTGGTGGTTTGCCCTGTGTCAACAGAAGGAGGGAGCCAGGTTTCTTCCGGAAACCCCAGCCTGCAAGCAGAGTGCTGGCTCCACCATGCTCTATCAGGCTGACCTTGGGAATGCCACTACCCATTCTGCACCTGCCCTCTGGTCTGTGCCATGTGGATGACACCCCTCCCTCACTGGTGACAAGGGCATTACATGAGATAATGGGTGGGAAATTGGGCAGCACAGGGTCTGACTCAGGAGGTGGTTAATCAGAATCCTCCCCAGGCTTAAATCCTTTTCTTCAGAAAGAATGTGGCCCTCAAGTGATAGCCACACTTTAAGCCTCGTTTCTCGTGCTAGAATGGAAGGAGGTGTCTCGTTTAAAGGAATGGCTCGGGTTCCAACCAGGGAAATGGGTTTCTGTGAGAGAAAACCCACACAGAGACAGCTGCAGGGTGTGGGGGTGTCTTTTTTGCAATACCGTTCGCATGAGAGATCACAGGTTGCAAGAGTGTAGGCACCCCCTTGGTTAGATTTGGCTCCAGCAGTCCCTGTCCCCTGGGCAAGCAAGGACATAGATAGCCCTTGTGAGCCCAGGGGTCTGGGCTAGGCAGTCAAAGTTGATATTCAAGCTCTGCCCATGGCCAAGGCAGAGAGGCAGTGAGTCCTCCCAGCAGGCAGAATCCACACCACTGGGCTCCAATGTCACAAACATGGTGGGGCCCAGAATTTGCTCCCGGGTGGGCCTGGCTCCTAGGTCGGGCAGTCGTTCTATTTGGGTGCACACCTCTGAATATCTCTCTCCTGCCAGCCTGACAGGTACGTCGGTCCCAGATCTCATTGTCAGCACCAACCATCAAATGTGGCTCCTCTTCCAGACCGATGGCAGCGGCAGCTCCCTGGGATTCAAGGCTTCTTATGAAGGTAACTGCTCTTGGGGGCCCCCATGGAGTCTGCCCTGGCTGTCAGATACTTGGGGTCTGGATCTGGAGTCAGAAAGCCCTGGGTTTGAATCCTGGTTCTGTCCTCCGCTAGTTTCACTTGGGCACGTTATTCGACTTCTCTGAGCCTGGGCCTCCTTCCTGGTTCTGTGGGCCTCCCAGGTTGTTTCGAGAATTACCCGGGATAAATCATTTAAAACACTAGGTACCCAGCACCAGGTGCAGACACCGGTTCCATCCCCCATTCATACCTGGCTCACGTCATCTTTTGGGAGGCTTCACTCATTTTTAAAATCTTTAGACTGAGGACGGTAGCTTCCCAAGCTACCGTAACGAAGTGTCAAGGAGATGGGTGAGTGACTGTGCCTAGGGCTAGGGACAGACACACACTGATGTGGGTGGCCCGAGGCGGATGCAGAAAGGATCTTCATCTCTTGCTGGGAACAGGCATTAAGGGAACTGCAAACTCCGGGGCCCAAGAGACACCACCACCATCACCCGTCTGTGCGCCTCCCAACCACCTGTTGGCCAACAGCTACTAATGCCAATCCCCACAGGAGGGAAGGAGAAGCCATTCCACACGTAGTGAATCATTAAGCCCCTGTTAGGTGCCAGACACCCGGCCAACGCCAGGGGACAGAGGCATCAGGCCTGGGCTTCACCTCAAGGCGTTGGTGCCCTGGCGCTGAGACACGGGAAAACGAATGAGGAGTGAAAGCCAGGTGGCTGCCCAGAGAGCCAGTGGGAGAGCAGAGAAGTCATCCTTTCTGGGGGGTCAGGAAAGGCTTTATCAAGAAAGTGAACCTTAAGGCCTCAAAATGCTTAGGTGGCTGCTAGGGGCACAGGAGGCGGGGAGAGGGAGAAGGCTCAGACACCCGCTCCCCCACCCCCAGGGACCAAGGGCTCCTCCTGCTCCAGGCCCCGAGCTCTGTTTCCAAACTCGGTGCAGGAGGTGTATTAGTTTGCTAGGGCCACCCTAACAAAGTACCACAAACTGGCTGCCTTAAAACAACAGAAGTTTATTTCCCACAGTCTGGAGGCCGAAAGTCTGAAATCCAGGTGTCATCAGGGCCATGCCCCCTCTGAGACCCTGGGTAGAACCGTCCTTGCCTCCTCCTAACTTCTGGTGGTGGCTGTCAGTCCTTGGTGTTCCTCAGTTGTAGCCCAGGTTGTATCACTCCAGTCTCTGCCCTTGTCACCACACACTTTCCTGTGCGTCTCTCTCTCCCCTTCTCATTAGGACACCAGCATACTGGATTAAGGGCCCACCCTACTCCACTGTGTCCTCGTCTTAACTTGTTACATCTGCAAAGACTATTTCCGAATAACGACACCCTTGTAGGTACCGTATCTAGCTGGACATGGTGGCTCACACCTTTAATGCCAGCACTTTTGGAGTCTGAGACAGGAGGATCGCTTAAGGCCAGGAGTTCGAGACCAGCCTGGGCAACATAGCAAGGCCCCATTTCTACAAAAAAAAAGAAAAAATTAGCCGAGCATGGTGGCATACACCTGTAGTTCCATTTACTCAGGAGGCTGAGGCAGGGGGATTGCTTGAGTGTAGGAGTTCATGGCTTCAGTGAGCTATGATCTAGCCACTGCACTCCAGCCTGGACAACAGAGTAAGACCCTATCTCAAAAAAAATAGAACTTCAACATATCTTTTTGAGGACACAATTCAACCCCTAACAGGAAGCTAGTCCATATTTTCTACACTAACACTATCATATCATACCACCATGTCCCCTGGGGTAAAAGGGTGGTTGTACTGTTCTGAGAACAGGAAGCCCTGTGTCTAGGTGAGGCTGAACAGCAGACAGAGAACAAGCACTTACGAGGTGACACATGCTGAGTGCAGATCCTGGCTCCGTCACTTTCTAGCTCCATGACAGGCCATGGAACCTTTCTAGGGCTCTGTTTCTTCATCTGTGAAATGGAGATAATAACACAACCAGGGTCACAGGGGTCCTGTGAAGATTGTTAGACAAAAAACGTGAATATGAGAAATGTTGCACATCGCGAGGCACTTAGCGAGTAACTGATGGACCGGTCCATTGGTAGTTCAATGAACGGGCCGTGCTGGTGCGTACGTTACACACAGCAGCTGTGGGGCCAAGGGAGGCGCACCCGATGGGAAATCATGAGACCTCGACTCGGGTCCCAGCTCTGTCACTCACTGCTTTGAAAAGAGGAGTGCATTTGGAGGCAGAGTTTCCAAGCTTTCCCCCATTTCTGAAATTCTATGGATGTTCAGTAGTGAACGCTCCCAGAGTGGGAGGAATGATCCCGTGTCACCCGCATGCCCTTAATCTGTCCATATTTTGCCAATGGTTTGGGAAAGACGTAAATAGCATGAACTTAAAAGGGATGACAGTACCAGTCAGCAAACACGGTGCAGAAAGATCTGGATGGGGGTAGAGCTGTTGGCTAAACGAGTAGGATGAGATGAAGTGCGAATAAGTATCAGCCTCTAGAATTTATCCCGGGGAGTTAGTTGCGCTCTCCTCCGCCTCGGTCGGGTGTCAGAGCATCCGGCTTAGATGTGGGGACCGCAGCTTGAGATGGATAAGGAGCAGATTTAGGCCAATCCCTGTGGGAAATGTTGATGACCCCGAAGATTTACTTGGGGGCAGAGTAGTTAGACTCAGGAGACTCGAGAGCTGTGTCCAAATATTTGAAGAGCTGTCGTGTAGGAAAGAGGAGTTAGATGTGTTTGTTGTGTTTCCACTGGAAAGAAGGGGACATGGCATTTGTGCAGAGCCTACTGTGTGCCTGAAGCTTTATGTTCATTATCTGAGGGTTTTCTAGGTGTCATGCAAAGGCTCAGGGTACCCCGGGGACCACTGAGGTGGGCTGGGGCGTGCCTGGGAGCGAGGGCTCCGGCCCCACCTCCATTTCTTCTCCTTCCTCCTCGTTTATTCCTTGTGAGCCTTCTTTTAAGAGAGGATTCGTAGCTGAACACTGGTTTGGAAGACACTGCTTCATGTCATTCAGTGCTCACGAGACGGGCTGAGGAACGAGGCGGCCCCCGTGTGCGCAGTGCAGGGTGTGAGGCAGAAGGAGTCCAGCTTGTGGACGGCCTGACAGCCTCACAAAGCCTTTGCACTTTGCCCAGTGGGAAGATGAACCTTTGAAGGGTTAAATCGGGCGGGCCTGCCTTTTCCTTCCTCTCCCTCCCACCTTGGACTCTTTGTCCGAGGGGCGAAGCCTGTCGTTCTGTTGTTCCGCAGCTTCGTGATGGGGTGAGGAGCCCCTCTGCTGCAGGAAGGAGGCGGGCTGAGTCCCCTGGCACCCTGATGTGAGCCCTTGTCCCATGTGACCCCTTGTCCCTGCCCGTCCTGCTCTCTGGGCGTCCTCCCCTCTCTAGCTGCTCCCCCGCAGCTGCCGCAGGCTGCTCGTGCCCCTTCCCAGGCCTGTCCTCAGCCTTCAGTCTCCTTGTTCTAGGGCCTTCCGCAGTTGCTCGCCTCAACTCCCATGGCTTCAGCTGCAACCTAAACCTGGTGACTTCTGCCTGTGTCCCCCACTTGTATTTTAATCTACCTGTTACACATTTCTATGTGGCTTCCCCCACAGACATCTCAAACCGGACCCTGCTGTGTCAGTCAGCTGCCGTAACAAACCACCACCAACTGACTGGGTGGTTTAAACAACAGAAATTAATTTTCTCGCCGCTCTGGAGTCTCTTAAATAGAAGTCCAAGATCAAGGTTTGGCCGATTTGGTTTCTGGTGAGGGCTGTCTTCCTGGCTTGCAAACGGCCACCTTCTCGCCACGTCCTTGCGTGGCCTTCCTGGGTGCGTGCACACAGAGAGAGCAAGCACACGAGCTCTGTGCTGTTTCTTCTTATAAAGACACCAATCCTATGAGATCAGGGCCCTGCCCTTATGGCCTCATTTAGCTTTCTTAGTGGCCCCATCTCCAAATATAGTCACACTGGGGGTTAAGGGCCTCAACATATGAGTGAGTCCATAGCACCGTCCAAGCCAAGCTAGCCACCCCCACCCCCATCCACAGCCTGCCCCTGTGTGCCACCTCCAAGAAAGCACCACCAGCCAGCCCTTCGCTACGCCCCGTCTCCGCCTCGTCCTTGTCCCTCCCCCTCCTCTAACTCCGCTCCCGGCTTCTGGCGGTGCTCCCTCTGCAGCACCCCACTGCTCTTCCTCTGCTGTGGTTGAGGTGGTCCCACATCACCCTCACGTGGATGACGGCACAGTCCCCCCGACCGGCAGGGCTGTCTCTAGTCCTCTCCCTCCATCCCCCACCCATCTGCCACACGGAGCACAGTGATCTTCCCAGAATCCAAATCTGGCACAATTCTCTCCTACTTAGAAAAAAAAATTAAATGACAGCTTCTCATTGCCTTTAGGATAAAGTACAAAATTTTTCATGTAGCATCCAACATTCTCCATGATAATTATTCTAAACCAGTTCTGGCTTCTGTGAATCTGTTCAAGACAGAAATTACAGTTTATTAATCTCCCCAGTGCTACAGGGCCTAGCCCAGTGCCTGGCACGGGGGGCGTGCCCAGAAAAGCTTGCAGAACCCAGTTGTAATGACTCTTTGCACGGGCACGCTCAGGCACCCTCCTTGACACCCTCTTAATTCCCTCTTGGGCCACTTTACCACCTTCTGGTGCTCGGGTGCCAAAAGTCCACGTGTTCTCTGTTGTCCCTGTAGGCTTTGGGGCTGGACAGACCCAATTTATAATCAGCCTCCTTCTTTGACTTCTGTGTGCCAGTCCTTCCTTGTCACCTGTGCAGGGGGACTGATGAACGTGACCTCCCCAGGTCTCCTGAGGACTCAGTGTAGTGAAGCACCCAGCACAGGGCCCGGCATTCAGTAAGCGCTCAGTTGAGAGCTTCCCGTCCCTGTGTCCCCAGGCCTGCGGCTCTTCTTCCAACCTACACCAGCACTGCCTGAAGCTTCAGAACTTCCTCCATCCCCCTCTTAACCCTCCTGGTATTCCAGCTCCTGGGGACTGCC